CCACTAGTGAAAATAGCTTTTATCCACGAGGAAGATTTGCTGTAGTGAACTTAGAGCTTTAAACTTAACCAGGCTGCTGATTAGGCTGCAACTGCTGCTGCTGCCTGTCACGTTTTAACTGCTTCTGATACCCATGATTTGATTGCCGCTGCTGTTGAAAACTTGCTGAAATTTGTCTGTCTGTCTTTATTAGCGGGAAAAATATTATGAACCGTAAATTGGTGACTCGAAAGATATAAGAAAAGAGAAAAATATCAAGAAAAAACAGTTGACCGAATGGCGTTCCTCGCTCGTTAGAGCTCAACCAAGGACAAAATACAACAGCTACAAAGTTGGAAGAAAATATACTACAAGAGAATCAGTAATATACATCTTAGATTCATTACATTTAGACCAAGCAATGACGCCCTCTACAGAGGGAAGGTTGCTTAGACTTAATATACAGGGTCTCTGAGCAATTTCAAATGTTAATCTAAAACAATTCTTTTGAAAACCATCAATACTACGTAGAAGCATTTAGCTTAAATGATTTTTTTAAGTTCTTACTCGATGTCGTCGCCAAGAGGAAGAAATATTTGAAAAAAAAAATAGTAAAATGTCTTTGTTCAAAAGTAAATTTTATTAAGCTAAAATTACTCGTTCAAACATATACGTACAAAAACACATGAATTCATTGATACACGTATCTGGATACATACATGTAAAGACTTGCGCATGCATACGCGCACCCCACCACACTCATAGTATAGGTACATTTATAGATTAGTAACTTTTTAATGAAAAAGAATTAATTTTATACTGCCACTTTTTTATGTGCAAGGATATGAGCGATCATAGTTCTCCACAACGTCCTGTATTTTATTCTTTAACTCGTTGTTTCCATCCGCTACTCTTGCTTTCATTATACCCTATGAGTGTTAAATTTTCTATGTCCTCTTTTCTCATTATTTGCACATGGAATATAAGCTTTTTTCTTTCTTAATGTAAGTATCAGTTGTCTTTATATATATATATATATATATATATATAGAGAGAGAGAGAGAGAGAAAAGTTTCAAATTAAAAAATAATAATGTTTTATTTTATGAAAGTATTTATTTATTTATATATATATTTGATATTTCAAATTGTCCTCAATTTTTCATCAGAAATAACTGTTTGTTACAAATAAATTAAAATTACTGTTTGTTAGCAAGTAGCGTCCTTCGCGAGACGCGGACGTCACGTGATATGGAACTTAAATCTAACTGTCATAAATATTTTAAATGTTGTTTAAAAAATTTTTTACTATATCTAAAAAAATTGCTTAACTATTGAAATATTTATAAAGATTTAAAACACCTAAGTCCCTATTCAGCCCTAGTTTATGTGTATTTAATTTTAAAATCCAATATGTTTCTTTTTTTCTGCGTGTGAATGTATATATATATTCTGTTCATGGTATTCCCAGTAATCGTTGATAGAATCCCATTTATATTGTCTCTTCATCTAAGAGATTGTTCAACATTCACTGACATATAGGAGATTAGATATTACATAGCATTTGAGCACTCTTTTCTTTGTCTCTTATGATATCTTTCTGTTTAGTTTCTGGAAGGCACATTTTTTTAATGTTTAACATGATATCAAAGCACTTTATTAAGTAGATCACAAGCAGATATTCATCACAAACACCGAACGTTATCGGGAGAAAATTTCAGGTGGGAAAAAGAAGCTAATAATCACGGCTCAATCAACAAACTTATACATCCAGTGCAATGCGTCAGATATTTTAATCCTAGACATTCTGCAACAAGAAAGGCGATATTTACCAGGAATAAGATATTTACCAGACGATATATGATACCAGGAAGATCAATTAAAATGCAGAAGGACGTATACCTACGATTTATAGATTATGCAAAAGCATTTCATAAGGTACGACAGAAAACCTAGTAAAACTGGTACGAAAATTTGATTATTTTGAATGGATATTTTTGTACCTAGGTAAGGTTACTGAATAGAATAATCACACGAAGGTTGGTAATGAACGATTATACTTAGGACAAGAACAACACATATAAGATTCGCCAGCGGCGCGTAAAATAAATATTCAACTGCTAGAAGTGAGTCAAGTGAATTCCACAATGAATCTCGAACTTCAGGATATCTACCAACCGCCACACGCGGTCAGATGTGGCACAAGGCCGAATTTAAAGTGGGGTTTCCGAGTCTGTAGTGTCGGCCAATTCCCCGTAGATCCCTTATAAAACGGGGGTCGGGTAGCTGTTTCCCGAGATGAGACTCTGTCTTTCGAGTTTGGGGATAATTTCTGTCCGGAGGCAGAGTTTGACCAGCACAGCTGAAGACGAATCTCCAAATGCAGGATATCTACCAACCAACCTACGGGGTCAGATGTTGCACAAGGTCGAATTTAATGTGGGATATCCGAGCTCGTAGGCTCGGCCAAAAATTCCTCGTAGATCCTGTATAAAATGGGGTAATGTAGCTGTTTCTCGAGACGAGACTCTACCCTTCGACATAGACTCGTCTGGGGATCCTCTCCGCCCGGAGGCAGACAATTTGACCAGCACAGCTGTATCTCCAACTGCCGACCAACATACAGTATTTACTACTGTATTTATGTGAATGGGGACACACCCATTATCGCTCGTAGTTATGCTACAACAATATTAAAAGAATCCAAAGCATAAAATGGGAACAGACAGCCTGCATCCGGATAGAAAATGTATAAGGTACACACACACACACACACACAAAAAAAAAAAAAAGAAAGTTATGTAAGACAATGATGTGACTTCTCACCAGATATATTCAGCTTTTACAGCCTAAATTTAAATATCTGGGAAATTTTCTATCAAATGTTTTTGACACTGAAATCGGAAGGCCCATTAGAATAGCAGACAATGCTTTTAAAAGCAAATCAAAATATTAAGGAACAGGAATATTTCATTAAACATAGAGAAAAGAGTGCTCAACTGCTATGTAATATCAGCCCTTCTATATGGTCGTAAAGGTTAGACAATGTCTTCACAGATTATTAGGTTACTAGAGACAGCAGAGATATGGTTCTACAGGAGGATGTTGGGAATACTATGGATAGAAAATGTCAGTAATGAGTAAGTTTTAAGAAAAACGCAAACAAAAAGGATGCTAATGTTTAGAACCAGAAAGAGACATTTGAAATTTCTTGGCCACATAATAAAGAAATAAGGTGAGGAAGATTTGACACTCATAAGACATATTGGAATCAAGCAGTAATAAATAAGAAGCCTGCCTAAGGAGCTTGTGTAAATGGATGACAGAACAGGAAGCGGTAGGTATAGTAAAATGGCAAATATTACTAAGAGCTACAATGGATAGGATGTTGTAGAGAGCCGTGATCGATCCGGTCCTGAAGAACTTGAAGATTTATGAGTCAAATATTGAGAATTTCAGTGCCACTTCCGCCCTGAGATATCAGATTGTACGTTACGTGAGCGGTTGTATATTTTTGTCAACTTCCGTTGTTTGAATTATATTTATCCAATTTATTGTTGTTCAGCTTTTAATTGAATGCACTCAATGACTTTTCGTTTATATGTTTTTATTTTGTTTTACCTGAGGAATAGTGGGGAAACCAGGAAGTGTAAACCACTCCCACTCGGCAGTTTCATTAATCCACCTTCCTTTTCAGACATGTTTTTTTTTATTTTACCGATAACAAAGGGTTGCTAAATGATTCTATTAAATAGTAAATCATCTACGCCACTTAAAAATTGCTTTAGCAGAAGTTAAAGGCTATGAATTAACAAACAAATCACCCCACGTCTTCTTTATATCTAGGTTGATATAGCTTAACATTTTCTTTTTGTAAATGTGAGCATTGTTCACCTTTTATGCGGCATGTTGATTCATGACATGGGCGATCATTGCTCTCCACAACTTCCTATAATTTTTAACCATTAGCAGTATTTGTTTTTACATACTCTAAAGTCCATTTAAACAAGCTCGTTAGATCATTTATTCATTGTTCCCCTCCGCCCTCTTGTCTTTAATATGACTTGTGAGTGTCAAATTCTCCAAGCCCGTATTCCTCATTATGTATCCCAGAAATTTATGTTGTCTATTTCTGGTTCTCAATGTCAATTTTGTTTCCATTTTCCTTAAGACATTCTGATTATTCGCTTGTTGTTTCCATAGTATTCCAAGCATCGTTCTGTAGAACCACATTGCTGTTGCCTCAAGTCTCTTCTTTATATGTGAAGAGACTGACCAGCCCAGCATTCATTGTCATATATGTGAAATGATATTGCATAGCAGTTCCGAAATATTTTTCTTTATTTTTATAACGAATAAATTAAAGCCCGTTTGTGAATACGGATGTTAAAGTCAAACAATTTTTTTTTATTGAAAATTGATGCAGTACCATCCCGAGAACTTAGTATGGACTATTTACATATATATATATATATATATATATATAAAAGTGATGCGGATATTTTATATAGTGCTCCGTATTTAAAATATTAAAATAGTATTAAAAATAGAGCATTGATAATGTTATATACAGGATAATGGTTGAATGGGAGTTGTTTGTTAATTTGTTTATTATTTACTTTACATTTATTTTATTTGGATTAATTTATTTTACTTGTTTTTGTTTATTTACTAAATAAATGATCAGAACTCAGTTCAAAAAGCAGACACTAAAATATTTTACTACGTTACTTGAAAAGAATAAATAAAATAAATACAAAATAATTAATCCAAATAAATAAATAAGTAAAGTAAATAATAAACAAATTAACAAACCAACCCCGCCAAAATAACGGTTAGAATAGACTACCCACAATGCATGACTGTCGCGAAAAAACACAATGCATGTGGCCTGACGATTCCATTTAGCCTGAAACAGTCTTTCGTCTTTGTGTGTTGACTTCAATGTCCACATTTATATTATATATTTACATAAGCTCTATGTCTGATATTGAGCATTTTATTCAATAGATATAGCATAACTTATATCCTCATATATATATATATATATATATATATATATATATAGAGAGAGAGAGAGAGAGAGAGAGAGAGGGAAAGAGGAGAGGGGGGAGAGAGGGAGAGAGAGAGAGGAGAGATAGGAGGAGGTAAAGGGGAGAGAGAGAGAGGGAGAGAGAGGGGGAGGGAAAGAGTGAGAGGGAGGGAGGGAGAGAGGGAGAGAGGGAGAGAGAGAGATAGGAGAGGGGGGGGAGAGGAGAGAGAGAGAGAGAGAGAGAGAGAGAGAGAGAGAGAGAGAGAGAGAGAGAGAACAGTCCAGGAGGCACGGTAGAGTAATGGATAACCGAGTTTGAATTTCAGTCGGGTTCGTTACATTCATTAACGTGCAAATACTATTGGGAAAGGTATGAATTCACCTCTTCTCTCCTCCAGATATGGATAAATAGTATGACAGACTGAGTCCTATAGCCTTGGATGACAACCGGTCTAAGAGAAGAATACCTCTGAACTCAAAAACATCAACCCCTATTTATGGGTTAAATAGCTTCTACCCACAATAGACCAAGTATGGTGAGTACTGACACGTTCAATCAGAAAGAGCTTCCCCCAACAGGAGTATGTCGGTCCTAGTTATGGATTTGGACATCAGTCCATGCCTAATTACTGTGGATGCCTTAAGTACGGTTTAAGGCCATATTAGTGACGTAACTAGTGAAATTGTCACTCACTTCTTGAAAAAAATCTAACTCCCTTAAGAGGTGGCCATGGCTACCCAATTTTCCTCATTATTTGTGTATTGGCATGCATTTTTGAGTAGAATTATGGATTGGTTACCTGTTGGCTTCTCCACTCGAGTACTCTATATTAGCGAATTAATCAGCGAGTCGACCCGCTAGGTGCGTATCTATCTATCTATCTATCTATCTATCTATCTATCTATCTATCTATCTATCTATGCCTGTCTTTGTTCTGATAGATTCTTGTATAGATGTTTAGTTGAAGAAGCATTTATCAGTTCACAGGTTTTATTATTTTTATCGATGTTCCTGTCTATGACAAAATACAAGATTTCGTGTTTATTTTTTTAAAAGAAGAATGTCCTTCAGGAAACGTAAAGCAATAATCTATCTATATATAAAATTCTGTGACTTCCTTCCGTCCATCGCACCCTCTAAAATAGTCATACATTAACCAATCGATACCAAATTTTGGGGAGAAGTGCAGATATTTAAGGAAATACAATGTATAGTTGGTTTTACTGGGTAGCTTAGTATAATAATAAAGTTTTTATTATTCAACATAAAATACACCCACTATTTTAAAAACAATTTATTGATTAAAATAACAATTACTTATTTCATAAGGATGCAATATTGTGTTTTTTGCATATCTTTTATTTAAGTTTTTATATATATTTCATTTTGGTAAAATATTAGGTTGGTGCAAAAATAATGTCGTTTTCTCACATAAGTTACTTTTATATATGATTTCTGAATTAATTTATTGATATATATATAGCCATGTTATATATCATTTTGAAGCGCGTTTTTCGCTCTATCGAATCGTGTTATTCGTTACCGTTCTCAATCTCTTCATTCATTTTTTTGCAGGCTTTTCGACAGCATTGACAAAATTCAAATCCGCACGATTTTTTTGTTCCAGTTCAAACTAGGTCGAAAAGCTGCCGAGACAGCTCGTGATATCAATGATGCGTTTGGCCCAGGAACCACTAACGAACGTGTGGCACAACGGTGGTTCAAGAAATTTCGCAATGGTGACGAGAGCCTCGAAGATGAAGACGGTCGCGGCCGGCCGACTGCGGTTGATAACGAACATTTGAAAGCCTTAATTGAAGCCGATCTACGCAAGACCACACGAGAAGTTGCTGTTGAACTCGAGGTCGACCACTCAACAGTCGTTCGCCATTTAAAGCAAATAGGGAAGTCAAAAAAGTTGGATAAATGGGTAAACGATAATCAAAAAATCGTCAAAAAACGACATTATTTTGCACCAACCTAATATAATGCACAGTAGTAGTACTATAAATATAGACACAATAGGAATAGTTTCAAATGGGCAAAGGATTTCAATAGTAGTTGAAAACACTATTTACATTATTCGGACTACTGTCCTCATATAGACAGATACATTACTAGAAAAATTTCAAATTTTCTCTAGGAAAATGTTAACGATAACTTCAAAAATCCTAAATAAACTGACGTCAGTATTTTGCAGAAAAAAAATTTTAGTTTCTCATAATTTATACTAGTAAATTTCTAAGTTGTTCATGGGCTTAACCTCAAGATCTAAAATTTAAGAGTTTTCCACAAATGTTGCATGTTATCCTGCATCGATTGCAGGAAGAGTGAAATCCGTCTCACGCCTGCGCTTGTGAAGTGTGGTATGCGCATGACCGGATGTCCCTTTAAATTAACATGGGATAATGACGGTAAGGTCGTAAGTGTTCCTCATTTTAGATGTTTTGTGATATAAACGTTGGTTATTGCATCATGTTTCTAACTGTGACGCTATATTTTGTTCGTTCATAGGGACGGAAGTAGCACCATAATTAACAGATATAAGATATCACATGATCATGTATACCTGAAGATGGACAAAAGGTATTTCGATGAAAGGTTGCGTCTCTGATAACATCTATAATCACCAAGATAGAAACAATTGTTCGACTAACTACAGTCTCCTGTATAGATTACCATAGATTTTTACAGATTTTCAACCATTTGTGGGTTGCTTAAAGACTAAACGTAGTTTTTTAATTGTAAGAATAATTATTTTTCTTTTTTGAGAGTGAATAATGTATTAATAGTTTGTCCAGATACAAGTCTTACTGTTTAACCCATATCTGGGGGAAAGCGATACATTCATATTTTTCCTAAAATTATGTGAGGGTAAGCGAATGTAACGAAACCGAGTGTAATTCGAACTCGGATCTTTGAGTTTTAATTTCGTTACACCACCTGCACATCCATTATCATAAGAAAGAAAAGATTGAAAACTTTTCTTGTAAAATATTTGTCTAATTTTTTTTTTTCTAGTTTTATTCAGAAAGTTTTAAAATGATTAACATAAAACGAGAATCAAAATCAAGAAAGCAATTCTGGGCGGACATGTTTTTCTTGTGTTTATAGCAAAACTGAGAGTCCTTGTTTCTTTTTAGTTTTAGGCGCACACTAAAGACATTTGTTGGTGTCTTCTCAATTAGACGATATTTTGGTTTTAGATTTTAGCGTTCATTCAAATCGACTTGAAGACATAAAAATGTCCCGTATTACGCCTCCAACCCCTCAAAAAAAAAAAAAAAAAAAAAAAAAAAGAATGAAAGAAAAGGAAAAAGTTTCGTTATGTTTATTTATGGAAATTCCAAAATAAAGTTTTACAAATTTTCTGATTTTTTTTTATTTTTCAATCAGACAGTTGGATTGGCGGTCACGTTAAAAGAAAATATCATTTTTATTTTGAATGATAAATTATAATTTTATTTTGGGGGTCAAAAAAGTGATTATTTTATATATCTGAATATTACTTTTAAAAATCAAGCCATAAACACGTTCACACACATAATCCTCCTTCTCTCTCCTCTCTGTCCCACTCTCTGTCTTAATCTATCTCGCTCTGTATATGAATTTCTTGTTAATACAAACGTTATTTTGTTGGGCACATTAAATAACACTTATGGCAATAAGAAATAACTTCGGTTTAAAAACCTATTTAATTGATAACATTACTTTGTTTACACTTTGGATACGAATAGAAAGGAACTTCGAACCGAACCCTTTATTTCGCCCACCGGGATAAATTCTTCTAGTTCCATGTGCCATGCCTCTTCTGGATGTCTCAATTATTTCCCTTGAACTCAAAACTCCACTTTTTTCGTTTTTTGTTTCCCCACTGCTGTAGCTTGGTATTGAACTCACAACTCTTTGGATTAGAATCATAGGATAGCGAACAAATAATAAACGTTCATAAATTTAACATGTTTCCCTTTTTATTCAAGCTTCATCAGCAAATGAAATATAGAAAAGAAAAGAAATCTGGTATTTTTGCATTGTTTGTTTTTCTTTGCCTAAGTAGACATCTTGTGTATTTCTCCTGTCAAGCAACGTTCGTGTGTTTATTTTTTTGTGGTTTTTAGTGTCACAATTCTAATTGGCATATGCCGGATTTGTTTGAAAATGTGTGTACGTTTGAACATCTACTGAGCATTTTTATTTATCCGTGGTGGTTGTCCGTCTTCGATTGGGAGATGTTTTGTGTGACAGTGAAAGAATTTAAGTTACACCGGTTGTGGTTGTAGGTAGACAGATCTTAGCTTCTTTAAGCATAGATTTACTAAAAGTTGGTAGTATAATAAATTATGCTTGACGTGTGTTTATTAATGATAAGATATTTATCAGAATTACTTCTTAGTATTTTCTACGTCACAAATTATGTTCTTTTCTAATTAGGGTAGCAAGTATAAAATTGAACAGTGGGTACATTAAATAAGATATTAATCTGTCTTTCTATCTATCTGTCTATCTGTTTATCTATTGATCTATATTCTGCTATTCATTTCTAGTGAGCTGGTTAACGAGTTAGCTAGGCATATAACCACATATTTTTCTTTTTGAATCATATCTCACGACAAATTGATTTTTCTAATTATAGCAACCCATAAAGCCAGTGATGGTAACATTAAACATAAACGAAGAAATTAAGTTAAATGATTGGTTTTGTAGCCATAGAAAATATTCATCTGAAATCAACGCTCTTATTTTTGATGTCTTGACCGGGTCAATGAAAAAAAAACATCATTTTGTTATAGCGAGTTTGAAAAATACAAATAAATAAAAGTATTAGCTTAAAAAAGTGTAAATAAAATGGCTGAAACCATAATAGCATGCAAATGATAATGGCCACTATCAATAAAACACAAATTAATTTACTATTATATTTTATTTGCATAAAAGCGCATGTCATAAATCCTTATATATATATATATATGCACACATATATGCGTGGCTATACATGATTAGATTGCATGAATACACGCCCCGTACACACACACACACACACACACACACACACACACACACACACACACACACACACATTACATATATATATATATATATATATATATATATATATATACTGTCAAAAAATGCCCAGTTTACCTCAGATTACCCTGGATTGGTACCAAATGTGAAAAAATAGCTAAACAAATTTCATTCAATGTTCGTTGTTGTTTTTTCTCTGCTGAAGTTCGGATTAATTTTCAAACTCGGCGTATGTTTCGATCTGCGTGTAAAGACGTTCTCCCTCCCCATCAAATTAATTCAATTATTTACAAATACGTTTGTAGTTGCGGAGCCGACTACATAGGGAGAACAACTCAGCGCTTAGACATGAGAATAAAACAACACGTTCCTACAAAAATTAGAAATCACACCCTGCATTTGAATGGACTCGTCCCGAACACCTATAGTTCCGCCATATGCGAACACCTATTAAAGAACAGAGATTGTGCAGCCAAATTTAGTGCTGACTGGTTCACCGTGTTGTCCCGGTCTCACTCCTTATTTCATCTAAAGGTTCTGAAGGCACTTTACATCGGGTCCCGCAAGCCTTCTTTGTGCAAACAACGTGAGTGTTTGTTGGGACTCGCTTTCATTTGTCTCTAGTTCCTTTTCATTTTTTTTTACAATTCCTTTTATTGTACATTTTTCTGTGTTAATTTTAAATCTCCCGTTGAAGCCTGAAGAGCGGGAGCGAAACCGGTTGCTTCACCCGTTTTTTTTTTGTTTTTTTTAATATGTCTCGTAATAGTAAATTTTACACTTTTATTTCGATCATTAAATTTTGTACCTACAAAAATATCTTTTAATATATATATATATATATATATATATATATATATATATATAAAAGTTCTGAAATACAATAGAAAACAAACAAAGAATACAAAATGAAATCAAAAGTTTTAGGAGTCCTAATCTTGTCATCAATTTAGTCCCCTTCCTTTTCAATTGGTCCCCTTCCTTTTCAATTGCGTTGCAAGTCCCCCCCCTTTTCAATTGCGTTGCAAGTTCCTTCCTTTTCAATTGCGTTGCAAGTCCTCCCTTTTCAATTGCGTTGCAAGTCCCTTTCCTTTTCAATTGCGTTGTAAGTCCCCCTTTCAATTGCGTTGCAACCCCCCCCTTTTCAATTGCGTTGCAAGTCCCCTTCCTTTTCAATTGCGTTGCAAGTCCCCCTTTTAAATTGCGTTGCAATTCCCCCCTTTCAATTGCGTTGCAATTCCCCACCCCCTTTTTTTTTCCAATTGCGTTGCAAGTCCCTCCTTTTCAATTGCGTTGCAAGTCCCCCTTTTCAATTGCGTTGCCCCCCTTTCAATTGCGTTGCAAGTCCCCCCTTTTCAATTGCGTTGCAAGTCCCCCCCCTCAATTGCGTTGTAAGTCCCCTTCCTTTTCAATTGCGTTGCAAGTCCCCCTTTTTCAATTGCGTTGCAAGTCCCCCCCTTTTCAATTGCGTTGCAAGTCGCCTTCCTTTTCAATTGCGTTGCAAGTCCCCCTTTCAATTGCGTTGCAATTCCCCCCCTTTCAATTGCGTTGCAATTCCCCCCCCTTTCAATTGCGTTGCAAGTCCCCCCTTTTCAATTGCGTTGTAAGTCCCCTTCCTTTTCAATTGCGTTGCAAGTCCCCCCCCTTTTCAATTGCGTTGCAAGTCCCTTCCTTTTTCAATTGCGTTGCAAGTCCCCCTTTTCAATTGCGTTGCAAGTCCCCTTTCTTTTCAGTTGCGTTGCAATTCCCCCACTTTTCAATTGCGTTGCAAGGCTCAATCATTTTTTTCCCTCAATTCACCCTAAGCAAGGCGAGAGTGCCACTAGTACGCAATTGGCTAGAGAGAATGTAAGTAAGAGGATCAAGACAACTGAAGATGTCGTTTGATATCACATTTAAGCTTTTGAGGCTTATAGTTACCAGGGTAGGGAAGTAAGAGGAAGCTGTTTTAGAAGAAGAGGCGTTTAACTGTTTTAACAGTAAAAAATGTGGGACCGAAATGCCAATCTAGTAGCACTCTTAAATTAATGCAGCCAGGGCACCAATGAAAATAGCTCGTTAGAGAAGATGCCATGAAAATATTTATAGACAATACAAAGAGAAGCCACATTACGTCGGTGAGAAAGTGAGTGGAGTCGAGACCCCAAGTTAGGACCGATCACATTGCATATCCGTCTTTGGATTTTATCAAGAACCTGGAAATGAACCGCAGGGGCACCAGACCATATATGGCAACAGTATTCCATGCATCGAAGAATAGTAGATTTGTAGATGTGAAAGATGAACTCAGACGAGAAAAAAATTCTGGCACGACACAGAGAACCACTTTTTCTTGCGGTAGATGCAACAATTGATTCAATTTAGTTGTTTCCCCTGACGTCAGTGGAGAACGTGTGACCAAGAAGTCACAGTGTGTGGTTTCGTGATGTTTGAGCATCAACCAGGGCTGATAGTAGGCAGGGACCTTTAACTATGGTGAGTAAATCGCACCAGTTTCGTTTTGGATGCATTGAACTTCACAAGCCATATCCTGCCCCTGTCAACCACAGATTAGATGCCATTTTCGAGACTAATGCCCAGGTTAACTTTGTCAATAGTGCCGGATTTACTATTAGGACCAGAGTAAATTTTAGTGTCATCTACGTAGATGCCGACTTTTGAACTGATGACGTCAAGAAGATCATTGATGAAGATCCAAAACAGTGTAGGACCAAGGATAGAGCCTTGAGTAACACCAGCATTCGTATAGAAGAAACTAGAAGAGAACCCGTTCAGGACAACTTTCATATCACAGTTAGACATGAATGATTAGGTTAAATCAAATAAGTGCCCTGTAATACCGTATACCTGAAGCTCACGTAGAAGGTCAACATGCCAAACCCTGTCAAACACTTTCGATATATCAAGAGCTACAGCTTGAGCTTCGTCGTTATTATCAAGAGCTTGGTATACATATTGTTATAGCAGCTGTTCCCCAGGGCTAGGCACCTCTTCAGTATAATTTTCCTCAGTTGCCCCTGTCCTCAGACAGAGAAGCCTCTGAGCGCACTCTGTCCAAGGACAGAGATGCAACTAAGAGATGATAAATAATGCGAACCCCTCCCCCTCAAGGAGGGATTTGCACACAATTTAAACACTTTTTATGCATTTTTATATTGTCAGTGGCTTGACCCCAGTTTAGGGATTAACTATTTGCCCATAGCTCGGAGCCTATCAGCGGTAGATCGGGCAAAAAAGAAAACATTGTTTGTCAGAGAGCAGATCGTGAGAAGTGAGATGCTTAACTATTTCAGCATTGTCTCGAAGATTTTGCCAACGAGTGGTAGAAGACTGATGGGACGGTAGTTAGATGGGTCAGAAGGGTCTCTAGAGTTCTTAAAACCGGGACTACAGAGGAGGACTTCCAAAATGCTGGAAAGCAACAATCGGCGAGGCAATAGTTGTAGAGTTTGGAGAGAATTGGAGCCAGCTCAGGGGCACATTTCTTTAGGACGACGGCTGGTAACCCGTCACTACCACTTACTTGCTAGTCATTTATTATTCTCTAATTACAGAGCATTCAAGAACGAACAATGTTATGTGGGGGATTCCAAATTATTCTCCATTGTATCATTCCTTCTCAATCGATTGTATTCTATCATTGAATGAGAGCTTATATCACCTTACAATTGCGACTTATTTCTTTCGCATTGTCCTTATTAACGGACTAATGTCATTGTTGTCCTATCGGTATTGTGCAGTTTCTGAAGCTTTGGGGCAGTAAAAAACTCCTTCAAGTAATCCAGCATCTTTCTGCGATCTTAATTTGCATAGAACTTGAATTACCAATAGACTACATTAAATTGCAGGCACCACCATTACTCATCTAATGACTCTTCTGTCAGCTGAAACAAGATCATCGCCATCTTAGGCTTTATCATAATTAAGAAGAGAAGCTGGCCTACCACAACAGGACCTGTCACCAGGATCAATTTTTTTTCTTTCTTACTCTTATTATAGTTAAATCTGCTGATCCATCTCTTATTCTGCTTTCATCAACTAGAGACTTTCCTTAAACGTTCACTCCACTCATCTCATGTGAATGTTTGCTTCCATAAACAAGAATTACATGGCAGATCATTGCTTTCTCCGTGTATCCATAGAAGCAGGCATTTTAAAAGAGGATAAAAAAAAGAGATGTTCACTTCAGTCATTTTTCTGTGGGCTTCTACAGGGTGCCCAGCAAAAAAAAAAAAAAACGGTAAATTCATAAGTAAATTTATTTCGCTATCATGATTCATACACAAACTGAACAATCATTCGAAATGTTTGCCTGAATGTTCAACACAAAGTTGTAAGCATGGTAACCAGGAGGCAGTAGATTTGCAGATAGTGTCAAGAGACATTTCATTCGAAGCTTCAGTTAAGTTCCACTTGAATGAATCACTATCGACGATGTCCCGACGACGGTTATGCAAGTGAGTTAAGAGTATACTCCAGATACAGCAATACAGAACATTCAGATCTAGGCTTTTAAATCAGAGCTGATGTATTTTCTCGAGGAATATATTTGCCGCTTTTTTCTACTGGGAACAATGTAGATACTTCCTTTGTTATAGCAAAAAACCTGATGGAGATAGCCTCGTCCACATGTAAAAAAAGATAAAAAAAATAATGCAAGCATTAACAATAAAAAAAGAAAACGCCAACACTCAATAACATTAACAATGAACACGGCCACAATTTGCTGACCGTGTTTGGAAAATAAATTTTTCTGTAATTTTAGAAACATGCCGAAAAATGACACATATTCAGTTAAAAATAAAATAAATAAAAATCAGCCCTTGATAATAGCTAAAAAGAATAGCCGGAAGCGCTTGGATATGCAGAACTTTTGCACACTTTTTGTCCAGGAAAGAAAACACTTGTACGAGCACAAGAAAGATTAAACAACGAAACTTATAGAGGGATTGATTCTCAAATGCATATATATATATATATATATATATATATATATATATATATATATATATATATATATATATATATATATATATATATATATATATATGATACTTTTTCACTTACACACTGGCGACCCAATGGCTAAGGGAGGCCACAGATTAAATCCGAGCCTATTCTTATCCCACCTTTCCAATACGTTGGAACTTTTTTTTTTCTATCATAGGAATGATTCATTTTTTTATTGACTGCTAACAAAAGGTGAAAAGTTAAGCTATCATTGACGGTGTTAGAACTCAGTCACCCGTCATTTGATAACTAACTGATTAACCAAATAGGCATTCCGCTTTGCCGGCTTGTTTAGATGGCCACTATCTTTTCACTCGGCACAAATATTTTCATTTACGTCTCCCTAAAAATAAATCGTTTTTAGTTGTTAATTCTGATAATTTCGTTTTGTTAGCTTTGGCTTAGTGAGTGGATATATAAGAATACATCCCCTTTCTAATGCAAGCCAGCTAATGGCTGACATCATCAATACGGCTCAGTTGTGTTTCACCGCAACAGTTGCCAGGAAATTTAGTAAGGAGGACGTAGTAGGAATTTAGTTTGATACACAGAGAACAACAAGGTCACAAAAATATGGACGCTTTGAAAAACAAAAACACATCCGCTTTAAAGACAAAGTTCAATAAAAATATATCGGCTTAGAAAAGACTTCAGGATTGTTATATAGAAAAATCCTTGAAAACAAATTGTTTAAAGAAAATATGCTTTTATTATATTATTAGTAGAAGTTTTCGATTTATTTTTATTTTAAATTAATTTCTAAAAAGATTGAGTAATCGTAATCTTGATTAACAAACAGTGTTGGGAATAGCAATGAGTCTATTATAAGAATTCAGAATGTGAAATTATTAAAATACTAAACATTTCAATTGCGTCGGTGTACTGATCAGTTATAACAAATTTAGATAAGGAAATTGTACGCAAATTTTCCGAAGAGTAGTTTTTTGTCCCCAATATCATAAGATTCTAAAAAAAAAAAAGAAGAATAACATTATCCCCAAAACTCGATTCATGTTCTTAAATATGGCTGACATGCTTGCCATTGGACGTATTCAGACAATTCTATAACGTATCTTTCGATAAATTCACTGAGCCAGCCTCCCCTTTTATTTCAGCATTTATTCCAGCGTCACTACTATTCCACGCCCTTGTATTCGGGCCTAGCGTGTATGTGCATACATTAAGAAAAACACTGTTGAGAATAATTTAAACGCAAATGAAAAAAAAAAAACCCAAAAAAAACAAAAAACACAGACATCAGGGAAAAAGTGTTGATATTTCTAGGACACATTACGAAGTAGGGGGGGTTGGAAAGTTTAACACACACAAGACGTAATGAGCGAAGGAGGAGTAGAGGAAAAAGTGAGAAACTTACTTAATGAGATGGAGCAGAGACAAAGAACCAAACTGCTTAGAACAATAAGAGACAGGAAGTTGTGGAGAGTCATGATCGCCAATATCCTAAATAGACACCGTACATAAATGATGATATATGCTCAAAATGGCATCCTTATAAATTCTCTTTTAGAACGAACAACATTCCTTGTTTCCGCCAGGACCCGGCATGACACATAGTAGCAAACTACCGACATTCTCTCCATATTCTGACGGCAAGAAATAAGTTCCACTCAGACAGCGTCTTTCGGCGAACCACTGCCCTGTAGCACAGATTCCTAGGAAGATGTTTCCCCGTTCACTATAATCTTAACCTCTTCATGTCTAGAGTTAATCGTTATCTTCCCCTCATATCTATATGAATTACCATTTAACGTAATCTTGTATATCGAATAGCAAGCGGGCTTGTACAGGTTGAAACTTATTGTAAAAAAAAAAAATAAAAAAAATAAGGAATAACTTTTCGCAAATGTGGATGTAGTTGAAGTTTAAATAGGCCAAATTCTTATTTTGTAGTTCAAACTTTCAACGAGTCATCAGGGATTTGTGTAATAGGGGAAATAAGAAAATTAAGTGTATTTTAAGCAGCACATGGTGTTTTCTTTTCTTCTTTTTACGTACTCACATCCCTGATGATGACTCATATGAGTCGAAAGATTGTATTACATGATACATATATTGGCTATTTTATACATCAGCTACAAACGCATTTACGAAACATTATTCACAGTCTAGAAAAGAAGATCAATAAATTTAATTGGCATAAAATATCTATAACGGAAGTGGATTCAACATTTTCAAAAGAAATGAATTCATCACGTCGAGTACTTTATCGATATATTTTATATAAAGAGCAACATAGTCCACAAAAGAAGAGGAGGCGAAATTATTTACGTGTATACAGATAGTTAAAAAGAGGAAAGAAAAGCATTTATGGGGTTAGCGATGGTGAGTGTGTGCGCATGCCACGTTGTTTTGTAAAATTGTGTAGTCGGTTGCAGATTTTCAAAACGTATGTATCTTGAAAAGAAATGAATTCAACACACAGAACATTCTATCCATAACTTACAAAGAAAGAGATGGGGATTTTTTTAAGTGCACACAGATGGGCAAAAAAATGGAAAGAAAATCATTTATGAGATTAGAGGTAGTGTGTTTGTGCGTGTCTGTATGTGTGTGCACGCACGCGCGCGTGTGTTTGAATGCGTTCTCGCGCGCGCGTTGCGTGTATGAGTGTGTATACGTGTGTGTATGTGTGTGAGCAACTTTGTTTGGTGAAATTAAGTAGTCGGCTTGCCGAGAAATTCATCCACAGACGAGACAAAATCTTTTATCTACCGTATCCTGTGAGTGACTGAGCAAGAGGGGAAAGAGAGAGAGAGAGAGAGAGAGAGAGAGAGAGAGAGAGAGAGAGAGAGAGAGTCAGTGAGTTTATGTTCCTACCTTTTATAGTCCTGAACAGAACGCCACCTTCCGGCGTTAAGCGAAATTGATTGGCAGACAAGGTGGTGTAATCCCAGATGTGTATTCTTTTTAATAAAACATATTTATAAGTAGAGTTTCTGCCAAAATATACCGAATAATATTTAAAATTCATAGATACTACACAGTTTTGGAAGTAAATAAAAAGATTCATCCATTCTTTGCACTAAATACAAGGTTGCAAATTTCCTCGACACTTTTGCATCAAGCGCAATTAAGTTTCAATACATTTGACATTACGTCATTTTATTCGAGAATTAATAAGATGAACGTTGTTAATTTTGTTTGCTTATTTATGTGGTCAATGGCCCAAGTTATTTGCATTACTGCTTTTTAAAGTACTGGTAGGAGGTGAATCTGGAAGAAACAGACTCACCTGTATTCTAATTGATTCTATGTAGATATATGAGCAAGAATTTTTAAAAGTATTTTATCATTTTGAAATGCACGGTACGAACACCTGCGTAAACAGCATTAGCCATCATCTGTCATCAGTGAATATCGGTAGAGCAGTTATATTCACTGAAGCATGACTTAAGAAGCTGATGTCGAGGATGAGAAACACTGGGAATTGGATGAATGCTTTTTTGGAAGAAAAACTGAAATAAAAAATGGTACTAGCGGTTACGAGGACAAGATTCATTTGAATAGAGAAGAATCAGTTAGATTGAATACGATATCGGATTATCAGATTTAAGTATACTAAAAATAATTCCAATGCTTTTCAAACATTTTAGAATACATAAATACATACAGAAACACACACACATACAGGGTGTGATAGGTAAATTGTGGCCATTTTATATTTTTAATTTCACGCATGCGCGTTGTTTGTTTTTGGTTTTGCCGACTGCACATTATAGTAGGGTCAGTTGGGCACCGTCTGTTAGAAAAAAATCATCATGGCAAAATTTACAAACGGCATGTTGTACTGGTTGGCATTCGCACCGGAAGCTCCAATACGAACCTTTTCAGGGTGTTTGACAGTGCAAAAGATTCGGAAAAAGTCTAATGATGATTACGAAGGTGTTTGGAGTGATCACTAATGATGGCAAAGTTATGCCTATATTCATCTTCCCACAGGAGCTCAGACTCAAAACGGAGGCCCGCACCAAGTGCGTTGAGTGTTGCCCTGGGTCAAATCGGTGGCTGCTGGAAGATCGAAACAGGTCTCTGCACCATGTGACACAAGCAGGAGAACCCATTCATTGCTGCCAGACAAACTCACACCATCAAACCACTCCTTACCTCTGGCTACCTAACTCCCAGACTGCAACCACCTTGATTATTATGTGTTAGGCGCAGTTGAGCAAAAGACCAACAAAACTCCTTGTAACACTAAATATCAACTGAAGGCAATGATGATTATGGCATCATTCCCCTACTTAAACAAAGGAACTGTCCAGAAGAGTTGCAAGAGATTCCAAAGTCATCTAGAGGCCATGGTTGAAGTCAATGGCGATTTTATTGAATAAATTTACTCTTTCGTATTTCAAGATATTTTTGCTTAATTTTGGTAAATATATCTGTTAAAATAAGATGTCAGTGTTATTTTCATTTTTGCATAATTTGAAAAACAATTTATCCATCGCACCATATATATATATATATATATATATATATATATATATGATGTTTATTCTTGTTCTTTTTTATGCTGGTTATAAATGACAATGATATGATGTATTAATGTGCTGGTAAGGCTGTCGTATTCAAATGACCTATTAACGTTGTTGTATTGAAATGAGCATGTAAGGCTTTCCTATTTAATTATCTTTGTAAAGATGTCATATTTAAATGAGCTGGTAAGGCAGTCCTATTCAAATGACCTATTAAGGCTGTCGTATTCAAATGAGCTGGTAAGGCTGTCATATTCAAATTAGCTGGTAAGGCTGTCATATTCAAATATGCTAGTAGAAGAGTTGTAGGAAATTCTGAAATCATCAGGAGGCCGTGGTGAAAGCCAATGGCGATTTTATTGAATAAATTGCTCTTTAGTATTTCAAGATATTTTTGCGTAATTTTGGTAAATATATCTGTTAAAATGAGATGTCAGTCTAATTTTCATTTTAGCGTAATTTAGACGACAATTTATCCATCGCAACCTGCAAGTGTAAGTATTCTAGTCATCTGAAGTTCGCGAGAATGTGAATCTCGTGTAATGACGTGGATTCTCGTTAAGTTTGATATTGTGGAGCTTTTTTTTTAGCGGGGTGGTAGGCTCTCTCTAGACAATCTGGGCGTTGGTCACTTTACTGCCTAGGTAGATGTTTGCCTTTTGGTTTTTCTTTTTTTCTTTACTTGTTCGTATTTTTTTTCTTGTGTAATGTGTTAGGCGTTCTGGCAACTTGTCAGTTGGTCACATCGATACAGTTGGTTATTCAAATATGTCTGAGCCGTCGCTTGCAGGACGGATTGGTTAGGAGGCTTACCGGACGGATGTACTCGGATATAGTATATCCAAAACCGGTCTTTTAAACTTTCCAATTACAAAGAATTTTTTTTGTTCTATAAAATAACGGCTCTCAGAGAATTTCTTTGGGTCTTGTTCCTCCTACAGTTTATAAAGCCTTTCCCATTTGTTTCCATTATTTTTCTTCTCTTCCTTTTTACCTCCACTCTCATATTTTAG